TTAAATAAACAGCAATAGATCTTTATGCCTAAATACCAACTCATTTATATGTTTATCGTCTCCTTTATTACGCACATCATTTCACAAAGAAAATATAATAAAGTGTAATACGATCTGTAAAGTTTTCTTATATATCATTTTACTCTAAATCTGATGAAATGAAAGGCTCTTTTAAAAATGTTTATTTTGTAGGTACATAACCATTATGATCACTTTGAATGACCAATCACTAAATCGTTTCGCTAAGATAATCTTGCGGTTTCGGACGATCACAAGTTCGATACTCGCTTATTACAAACATTTTTTTCACAAATAAAATCTATTAGATTCCAGATGTCCATAACAAAATGATTACGTCATGTAATAGACATTGCATGTTGGTGGTTGCTTGTTCACTTTACGAGCGTTCCGCCCAAACATTTTATTCTATTGGTAAAATAATATTTATACAAAATAAGCTTTACTTAATTTGTGACTAGATAGCGCGGTATTATTTATCCTATTTTTTGTGTTTTCATACAAAATAGGTATAAAAGTCCAGTGTATGTTCTGTATGTATAATTATATACTGAATATAGGCCTGGAAAAGGAACGGATGAAAGATGTGGCAGAGATTCGATGCTGAGATGGATGTGTGGGGTGACTAAGAATGACAGAGTAAAAAATGAGTATACACGAAGAAGTTTGAAAGTTCCCCCAGTGTTAGAGAAATTATGAGGTAAAATACTATCTTGGAATGGATGTGGCATGCGGTGGGAGTAAATACTATGATATAAAGGAAGTTTTTAATTTACGGATATAAAAAGAGAGAACGACCGAAGGTGATGAACGAACAGATGGCTGAACTGTTTGAATTGTGATATTCGTAACAGGACTGTAAATTCATATATGACGATTGATAGGTACTAATGGAAGAAAGTGACATACTGCGCCGACCTCAAATAATGGAATATGAGTGTATATACGGAATGGCAAGACAATGATCATGATATATATAGAACCAACCGCTATTGTTCTCTAACAATGGCGAATTTCTTATGTGCTCTATGGAAATGCATTATTTTATTACAATCTTCCGGCCAACTTCAAATAAAACCACTGGCTACCAATGGCATTGTTACCACATTGCAACCAAATTATATCATGAGACAGATACGTATGCGAAATTGCAGTTCATTTGAATGTCGTCAGTGCTTGAAAACTGAATTTTGAAAATCCGGTAAACAGCGCAACCACATTGATATGCATGAAACAAGTTTGAAATAAGACTTTGGAAGAAAATGAATACTCATGGCTACCATAAGTAGTTGAGAGTTTTATTTGTTTTAGTTTTATGTTGTTCTATATCTTTTCTTTGTCAACGTACTTGGTGGGTTGTCTAGGTTGAGTGACTTTTTAATCCTTAATACTAAATCATAAAATATATAGATAGTTTTCGATATCTTCGAGAAAAGTTAGCTTATACAAACAAGCGCTTTCAGGAAGATGTAATATGAAAGGAAAGCCTTTCGGCAAATCCTTCGGCAAGTGGTGTCTGATGTCGATCGACCAAAAATCAATTTTTGAACCTTGAACACTCAATTTCAATTTTCCTTAAGAAGAACATCGCTCTTTAGAGAGTTTCATAAAATGTGCCTTTATTTTGATTGGAGTCATTTAAACCATAGAAGTATTGAAATCTATAGAATTTAAATATGATACTATAATAATAAATAATTAAATTCATGTATTTGTATAGCTATGTATTTTTATATATTTATGTATACTATTCATTCTTTTTTTGCCTATTTTATTTTTTTGTATAAATTGCAGTTAGTATTTTTATTTTTTGCACTACATGATGAATGACTGAAAGACATTTCTTCCAGAGCTAAGTCTAAGTTCTTCAATATTTAAATTTGCTACAAATCTCAATCGTTATAACAAAACAAAATAGTCTAGTGCACTAATAACATAAATCAGTATATAAATTGTTAGTACATTTTCGTGAAACTCATACGAAGTATGTAATACCTACTAACTAAGAGAGCGTCCCAACTTCGCGTGAAATGAACCGCAGCCATTTATTGTATCGTTTCGAAGCGAGAAACAAAATTCAAGGCATTGTCGAATGGTTCACATTCTTCATGGAGCTAATTTTGCGACTGCTGTAAACACCAGTTTCTCCGTCATTTGTTTGCATAAGTACACAACATAAAGAATGAAATAGAGACTCCATTCGATCTCCATATAGAACTCCATATACACTCAAATACATCTACGATCAAATCGTCATGCATCAGTGCAATTAATCTTCCACTTGATGTGTTTTAGAGCTCTTTTATATGCGATTTCAATATTATAAACATTTTCAAATCAATTAGTAGTTTTGTTTATATTTTTTGTGATGTACTAATTGTTGTCTTTATTTTGCAACAAAGGTTTACTAACCTTATTCATTTTATTATAATAGAAATGATTATTTCTGTGAAGTAAAATATACTTGAAAATTCTAAAACATCTACTTAATACATATTAAGTAGATGTTTTAGAATTTTCAATTTTCATTTTTATTTTTTTACACTTAATTAGCATAAAATGTAAAAAAAAATAACCTATTACATACTCCGTTATCATAATGTTTATTTAAAAATTATCATATTCGCATCTCGCATTTTAATCCCAACATAACAAATATACATTTTCTTACTTAACTCAACTGTATTGTTCATTACTTAAGTTTATATTATTTCATTACTCTTACCGAATTTCTGAATGGTTCCACTTGAAAACAGTTAACGTGAATCCATTAGTGCACTTCAGACTGAAAAGCCAATTGGAGTCAAGTTACTGAATTTATTATACGAACTGTACTACTATAAATTTGGTAACTTATTCAGTTGTTGAAGTATCAACTATTTAAATGATCGGTCTATACAAATTATTTTGTAATAAATATACAGAAAGTGAAAGCCTGTTTTGTGTATAATGAATGAATTGTTTTTAATACATATAATATTATAAAAATGCTAAATAATTAGATTTTATACCACTTTGATATGAATATTAATAAAGTTTCATTACACTAAGTGGTTGATAATATCCAAGTACCAAGTCTATAAACGCCGTAAGCTTTTATTTCATGAAAGCGATTTCATTTGCAATTTACATTGACTTAATTTCAATACCTACGTGTATTTTTTTGTATAACCAGAACGGCGAATAAACTGATTACTGAAGCCAATATGATGAAAACTGGTATTACAAAATAATTAATTTGTATACATAACTGCCCAGATTTTGTGTTCTACTTCAGACGTCCACAAAAAAGTTCATCCAAGTATTTTTATCGACTCTTATATTCCCGTATGTCTGAACAGGATTACCAAACTATATAAATTATATTATTTTATTTATTTATTTGCTTCAAGCGACTTAATACTATTTATATAATCATATTCGGCCATTATAGAGAGCGAAATTTGCTATTTAGTTTTTTTATTAATTAATATACATCTACACACCTTAAATTGTACATTGACATAAGATTAATTACTATTTATATAGAATAACTATTAATTGTGATGATTACCTACTAAATATTGTTCTCAGCGCACATTAGGAGATAACGTATTGTAAAATGTTTTTTTTTTCTACACAAAAACATGTTCAAAATTAAATATAATTTGAGCTTGAAACTTTAAAAGTTATTACTGTATACAAAATACTACGTCTTATTTCTGTCTCTATAAATATGGAAGAAATCACTTTCTACAATTATAGAGTAATAAAATATACAATGTTTCTGTTTAAAATGCAAGTTACAGTACTTCAGCATACATTTGTTAAAGTTATTTTCTTAATGGACGCCACTGGGCATTCAGACGAAGTAAACTTTTATACATCTTTGCGACTACAAATATATACTAAAAATATTTTAGCCAAGAGAAAATTTAAAATATCTGAATTTTAAGAAAGTCTTAACTTTATTATTTTACCATCTACCCGCTGTTTTTCAGGACATCATGTTGTAACACTGCCGAAATATGGGCAATTCAATAATAACAAAACATATAGTTAGTTCAATGTAGCTTTTTAATTTGGGAAAATATTAATTAAACAGTGTGAAATAATACAAAAATTGTACAGAGTATAGTCATAAATCTTATGTAGTAGATACTTAAATATATATGAGATATATTAACGTAATGCGGTAGTTACTAAACGCTTCTCAAAAATTAAGTAATGTACTGACGTGAAATATTTGTGCCCATCAAAGCAGATTAGTTATACTTAATACTTTGTATTTCTGAAAAGAAACTCTTCAGAAGTTATTGTTGGTTATTAGTCATAACTGCAATAAGCGTCAAAATGATTTATTTCTTTCTTACTTATTGGAACAAAGAATGCTTCTTTCCGTTAAGATTTTCTCTTCTTAAAATCTTTGTAGGTTTTATGCAAATTTATATAATTATTTAACAACAACAACTTTAACCATCAGTCAAAATGTTTGCTACGACATGTTACCTATAGTTATAGTATATACCAGCTGTTCCCGCGCCTTCGTCCGCGTGGAATTTAACTTTATTTTTCTAAAATAAAAGTTGCATAAGTTACTTTTTATTACATCACCTACCTGCCAAAAAAAGTCCCGTTAAAATCTGTCCAGCCATTTCAGAGATTATCCGCAACAAACAGACAGACAAAAATTGTAAAAAAAACGTTATTTTGGTGTAGTATGTGCCGTATTTATATGTATAAATATGCATGTAGTAAAAAACGATTATTTCAATATTACAAACAGACACTCCAATTTTATTTGTATATTAGATAATATAGATTATCTCTCAGTTACCTTTGTAGAACATATACTTATTGTGTTATGAATATAGGCATAAACCCGTTCCTTTTTTTAATTTAAATTGTACTACAATCAATTATATTTTATAAAAATTAAAATATATCGTATAAACGTTCTAGTCAAGGCATAACTACTAACGTACAAAATATTTATTTTTCAGCGTCTGCTACGGAACCCGACGACACAGAACCACGGCTGCAAGTAATGGCAAGATCCACGGTATTCAACGCCGGGGAAACAAAAGCTATTTTTTGTAAAGCAATAAACATAGACGGGGTATGTACATTTTATATTTTAGTTTCTGTTTACTTTATCTGTGTAATAATACTACATATAAAACACTTTTATTTATACTTCTATCAGCAATATGACATAAATAAATTAAAATGAAAAGAAATCAAAATAATACACTTATACAGATCTTTTATTTGCATATTTTGACAACTGATATGTACAAACCAAGTACTTAAATTGTTAGACATATTTTAATCTGTAATTTTTTTTTATTTATTAATATTGTTTACTATTTTAATATTTATGTTTTCCTCAATTTATATAACATATATGTTAAAAGTGTGCTTAAAAGTAATAAAGTTTCTCAAAGATTATTTAAATAATGACGCTGTTCGAATTATTAATAATTTATTAAGTCTTCTTATTCTATGTATTTATTACTTTTCAGCCCATAGAATGGCGAAATCCATCGGGTGGGGTAGTTAAGGAACGTTCAGTGAAGAATAACAGAGTCTACGTAGAAAGAAAGAAGGAGAGTTCTGGAATTTTGATTCCACTCATCATCCACGAAATTAAGATTTCCGATAGCGGCAGTTGGACCTGTAAAGCTGGGGATCTTAATGAGACTATTGATATACTCGTAGGAGGTATGTATCACAATTGTGACAATATGTTATACCGAGATACGGGATGACATCTTAGTCCTCTTGAATAGCAACATGAGTGGTATTACGGGTATTACATGTGATAAAATATGATTCATTTGTTGGACTGTATTAGGATAGGTCTTGGCGTTTGGAAAGGAATTTTTAATAAAGTGGTTTATTTGCACGGCGTGTTTGAGAAGAGCACTTTTTATACTAAAAAAAGGAATGAATTGACTAATAATACAGCGTCACCAACAATACAAAAGTGTTACCAACAATTATTCTCCAATTTACCTAATATTATATTATATACATAATGTGTTTAACAAGATAATAGTGTGATGTCCATAATGCTGTTTATATTTGTAGACGACGGTTGCAGCTTATCACTACTTGATAAAAAGATTTATACATAATCCTAATACTACACTTGTCTCATTACAACACGATGTCTGTGTTATTGATCATATAAGTAGGCACTGTCCTTCATATGAGCCGTCAGCTTCGTTGTCAGTTATATAAAAAGATATTTCTGTTGATGGATGTTGTTTAGTATAATTAGTACCTACTCCCTCATCTCAGTGCTCTAAAAGCTCTTCAGAAAACCAGAACACAGTTTTTTTTTGCCTGCTAATGCAACAGTAATGTAGTAACCGGATTACATAATTATTAAAAATGTATATGTAGTCTCCCAAAGTGTATTTTTCATTTTCAGTATAACTATTATATATAGTTATACTGAAAATGAAATGAATTAAATACATTCTTTCCCTTTATCACTGTAAGATTTTTATTATTACAATTCTAACAAAATCTTTTCAACAATGTTGTTCAAATAAATTATCTAATAACGAAAAATAATATTTATATTCCATATTTCATCTAATAGCGGCAATTATATTTAAAGGGATCTGCTCAAACTAATCAGAAAATATCTTATTACTCAAGTTTTTTGAAGACCAATGATTTATTAATAAAGTTCATTTTTATTGATTTCCAGTTAAAGTAAACATAACTAATAGAAATGAGACCAGAGAAGGGGATGAGGGTAAATCAACGAAGTTAGATTGCGAAGCAGAAGGTCATCCGGCGCCAATTGTTCAGTGGTACAGAGACAGCAAGCCTATTGACGGTAATGTTTACGTTATAACATTTATCCGATTAGATTATTTCTATTCACTTCTTAAATAAGTAGTTGTCTATAGTTGACATAGTCATATGTAAAGAAGATATTATTAATTTATTTTAAAGACATTTAATTCCATGCCCCCTAGCATTGTGATGTACATATCAATAAACTTTTTGAAAAAGAAAACGTTATTTGGATCTAAAATAAAAGATATTTAATGAATTTATTGATTAACCGATATGTTTAAAATTGTAAAGAAAGAATATGATAATAATACTAACGGACAAAGGATAAAAATAATAAAACCATCACGACTGTTATTCCAAATGCGGTAGTCAGAGGCATAGTCAAGTGTAAATGTTGTGGTGAACATAAAATGTAAATATTGCAGGGTATATTTGAAACCGAAGCGGTGGCGAACCTACCGCAGTCTCTCGGATTACTTTTTAGTTTAATTAAACATAATACTTATGGTAAATTACTTGTTTAATGATTTTTATTTCATTTCAGTGTTTGAGACAAACAAATATATAATGAAGAAAGTAAGACCTCATAATTATCAATTGGAAATAAAAAATCTGAGCCATTTGGACGTCGGAGAATATGTGTGTAAAGTAACTCAAAAGGCACTCTCCCATTACACCGATAAGACAGTATATCTTTCCGTAAGACGTAAGTATAAAATATTAATTATAATTTATATTATTATAAAAACAGAGGCCAAATTAACGAAGGAAAATAAATTTCTTATTACCGATATTCGGTTTTTCTTTAAGTTATACATTTAGAAAATACTTTTAGTGCTGTACTGTGCTATTTATTTAAATAATTATTTATAAACATGACTAACAGCAAAAATTGGTTTGCATGCGAAAAAAAAGTAAGGTTTTTAGGCGTTTTCTTACTGAAACTCCAAAGAATAAAAAAATGTTAATATGATCTCGACTTCCCGAATTTAAACATAGCGACACATTTACTTATATTTTTTGTCAAATACGTGCAACTTTCTATTGTATACCCGTCGTACTCGAAATGATTTATTAATTAGTTTATTTCTTTTAATATAAACCAATTGAAATTATCAAACAGATAAGTGAAGCTTACCAAAATACATTTGTAAAAATCGTACTAAAATCGGTTTTGAAATTAAAGCGCGCATGTGCTTCACATACAAACAGAACAAAGTTCTAACAATCATTGTTTTTATACTATTACATTAATACATTCCCTCTGATTATATTTTTTTCTGATACATCTTTTATGTACAGTCAGCTACATTTTCATAGTTACATTTTCTTTTTTATCTTTTCATACATAATCTATATGTGTGTACATATAGATATCTGGAAATTGTCCAACACTTAACTCAAAGGTTCTAATCACCGTTACTACGATTTGTTGTCCATTGAATAGCAGAAGCCTTTGTATATACAAGTACTACTATATGGACGGATGTAAGCTACCTGTATCAACCTGGCTTCTTGTAACAAGAGATCATCTCCATTGAGTTAAGCCCCGTATAAGGCTTCTGCTACTGGAGGATAAGCTCCACGAAGTCGTCAATGTACCTAGTACATTCTACTAGAATACATCGCTTTATTTCCAAAGCTTTTTGTGTATATATCTATTACTATCGATATCAATGCTAATGACGCCCTCGGTGATCTAGCGCTTTGGCACACCGCTTTTCTTCTAATGGTCGCGGGTTCAAATCCTCGCACGGTAGAAACATTTGTATTCATGATTGTTTGTAGTGGAATGGGTATTTTCTATGTTATTATGCATGTATTTACAGAAAAATATATCTATGTGTTACTATCCATTGTCTAGTACCCATAATAAAAGCTCCGCGTAGCTTGGGACTAGATGGCACTATGTCGTGAGTTATTATTATTATAAATGTAAAAATATGACTGCATAACGAATCATAATGAAATTCGATATGAGAATATCTCTTCTCAATAGGTAGTTTTGCGAGGATGAGTATAGGTCTTTTTATCTTTTATCTCAAGAAATATCCATAAATAGAAATAGTAATTTCGTCACTTCACATACATATAGATCTTTATTTTGGTACTACATTCATTCCTTATAAAGGCTTCTAAAGGTAATAAAACACGAAACAGAATAAGTGGGTGTATTAAAATAGGGCACACATTTATTCATATAATAATAATTACTATATGCGTATGAAAAAAATTTACTAGGGATACAAAATTCCATCATTATGATAATAAACATATAATAAAAAGGCACTGTAGAAATTTATTTATTTATTAACACTTTATTTAAATTAAATAAAGAACAAACATAATAAGTAATAAACAAAAGGCGGTCTTATTTTTTCCAGACAACCTTTGGGTAGAGGAGAGAAGATTTATTAGATATATACTAGAGAAATATAAAAATATTAATATAATAATATATATAATATATATAATATAATATAGTAATAATTTACATATACTACTTACATACATATATACATATATATATATAATACAATTTATATACATACATACACACAAATATTATATACAAATACAAAACACACAGGAGTGTTTATTTTGTATTTGTATATAAGTAAATTATTGAATAAGAGTAATATACAGTCAATTTGAATGAGCTAACTGGATGAAGACTGACAGATCAAGAAAAGTTTAGTTCAAAATAGAGTTTTTGAAAACGGACAGTGATGGTGCGCTACGAATAGAGAATGGAAGTGAGTTCCACAAACGAATAGCTAGTACAGAAAAGGATTTTATAGAATGAGGATGTATGGATAGGGGTTTTTAAACTGATTGGATTAACTTGCCTCACCGAGAAATAAGAATCTTTCTTTAAGGAGAGAGTAGTGGGTTTAAAAAGAATCTTATGCCAATTTGCGAACGAATAGGAAGCCACTTGAGCTGTGAACGATAATGAGAAATGTGGTCATATTTACGAAGTCCAAATATGAACCTGATATATATTTTGGAGATAGTTTGTTTAATTGGTCTTCGGTGAGGTCTAGATAGCATATGTCAGCGTAATCAGGACAGGAAGGATATATAAATTTTGGTATCAATGCTGCAGCAGCAAAAAATTTATTTATGAAGATATTTAAATTAATTGATATATAACTTAACATTATTTTTTAACTGTAATTTATTATTTATATATCGTTTATAATAGAATAATAATATTTTATGTGATAATGTTCACCAAAATACTAACATAATTGAAATATGTATTTTATTACCAACTACATGAAGTCATATATAGTCTTTGAATAGAATTCAAATCTATTCTATTTAAAATATAGCATTTAGCAACCAACGGAAGTATTCTCAAGTCCCTCCACAGCTTAACAACATTCAGTTCTATTGGATTAACTTGTCCGAATTGAGAGAGGCGATTTAAACAATCTTTTGTTTGTACAGCCTTTATTCACTTGACTTTGTATGACCACATCAACACAACCAAGTATAAATATAGTGTGAGGACTTTATATGTGACATACATCATTTACTTGGAATATAAATAATGCTTAAAGTATCTCAAAATAAATATTAATTAAACTTACAAAATAAATTATGCAATGTTGGTTCATCTTTTCGTTTCGCAATAAAAAATCAATTCAAAATCAAATTATTGTGGAATATTTACAGATAATAAAAATCTTAAATAACATGTTTACTGTATTCTTAACTAATTCTAATATTGATTATTGGTTTGATATGGATGTTTCCTTCACCTGAGCGTCTGTCGAAACATAAATTGACACTCCCAGATTTGAACCCTTTGACCTCTTGGGCGTAATTCAGATATTAGAAATATAAAAAATATAGAAAATAGGAAGAATTATTGTAATACAAGAAAATTAAAAAGTAACTATTCATTTTCAGACAAACCTGTTTTATACAATGCAGAGACGCTATCTACATTATACAAGACTGAAGAAGTGTACGGGATTTTGAATGAAACGTGAGTTAATGTTTAATAAACAATTTCTATTATACCATGTGATCAAGAGATTTGCTGTTTCTCGAGACTACGAGGTCTATTCATTTGAATTTAATCAAATTCCCTTTCATTGTGAAGTGTTATTGACAAACAATGGGTAATTAAAAATGGTAGTACTTGTATGCCTTGAACGATTTATACAATTTCGATGTTAAATCATTGTCTTTATTGTAAATCAAACCAGAAACAGAATATTCATTGTCTATTGTAAATCTACATTTAAAATTAAATTAAACTATAAGTACAATATTAATAGTAGCAAAATTACAATTATAACCATACCTAATTGAGTTTATTTGAATTGTATTAATAGTAAACAGAATTATAAAAATCTGTATGAAATAAATAAATAATATAATAATTAAACATTTCTTATTCTCTGATGAAAGGATTGAAAACTATAGATATCTACAACTTTCATTTTGATTATTATTATTTTCCAGTAAAAATATAACATGCAATGCTTTGGCTAATCCACCTCCAACATACAAGTGGTACAAGCGAGACAACAATTACGATGAACTAATCACTTCCGACGATACGGTAAGTTCTGTTTCTATCTACTTTACTATAATTAGATGGTATAAAAGGTGACGGCTCACCTAAGACATCTCTCACTTTCTCATCATCATGAGTAGTAACAGTCGCCCCATGAACAATACCATTCAGATTCACTCTCTTATATTCCCATTCTTAAGACTAAGATATTATTGCCTCCGCATCCTGTAATTTCACAACCATATTTCACCCTTTATGTAAATCATAGCTTACAATACAAGTGCCTGAAATAGAAGACAAATAGGCAAGTCTTCATTGATGCACATATTACCCGTGTAGACTTGAGGCAGGAGTTGGCCTTCAGCCGTTCCATAAGTCCTTCCGCAAAATTTAGCCATCTATACTCGATTCTGTAGATGTTGAAAAGAATAGCTGTATCCAACAGCATTTAAGTAAAAAAAACACATGTTACTCTTGTGTGTGCAGCAGATTCTCAATATTCATTTCATTTCAATTCAGTTTTTGTGTGAAATCAAAACTAAAACCTTCAAATCATCAAAGACAAATGAAATAATAATAATAATAATAATATATTTATTGACACCAATTTAAGTAGTTACAGTTATTCTCCTTATAAACTATTACATTTTTGTTAAATATCATACATATAATTTTGATTTCAAGCCTGTACAGATACTACCTTCTTCCAGCGACAAATAGGTAAAAATTAAAATGTTGCAATGCGTGGGTAGAAACAAAATATGAATGAATTGCATTGGCATCAATCCATTCGTAAACAGGTTTACAAGTGACTCAGCGCGACCACAATAACCATGAACATAAACAATATAATAACGTTAGTTAACAAACTAAAATAATATAGTTTTAATTTTATCTCTTTATATCTTAATGTACGCTTAATCTTAAATTTGTTTATAATAACAGTATATCGTAGATGTATATAAATATATATATTGCTTGTTTAAGGTGTATATTTTTAATGTTACATTTTCATACTATGTAATAAAGATGTTGAGTCGGTCATTAAATAACTACGAAATATCACACACACACTACGAACCATAGTATTTTGCAAATGCATTGAATAAATGAGTTAGAAAATTTTAGTAATAAATACTGAAATATTCATCAATTAATTAAATCAGCATTTACTGAAAACTAGTGATGGACAAACTAGTTGTACTAGTAACTAAAATAGTTTGACTATTTACTTTGCTTAATTTTGTGTATATAACCAAAAACACTTGTTTATTACCTAAAATCTAACTATTTCTAGAGTAACTTAACTAATTTATAATAGTTCATCAGATTTTTCAGTATCTACAGTTCGTGAATACGGATAGGTTCTAAAAGCCCATTATAATATCGAAATTAGTTTTAAAAATAACCCTAGTCTATTTTTAATCGTGACATGATACCTTATTCCTAAAGAATCATCAATCAGGATGATTATTTTCTGTATTAAAGCCTATTATTATACCATCTTTCGCTCTATCTCTATTTCCGATTCATCTATATTATCATAATGTGTCTGTACATTTAATAGGTAATCACGGCTTCCGATAGCAGCTCCTCAGTCCTGATATTAAGAATGCGCAGTGATGAAGACACGGGAGAGTACGTGTGTACAGCAAGCAACGTCAGGGGGAAGGAATCCGTCGTTTTTCACGTCACTCTAGGGGACAAACCTAATCCGCCTGATTTTGTAAGATATTATTTCTTTACTAAATTAAGAAAGCATATATTAATAATATGATTCACGTATTTTGTGATAGTATAAAAACAATTTATTAATAGTTTTTGATCTTCTTTCGTAATCCTATACATTAGAAAATTTTTTAAGCTTTGACATTACATTGAATGATAGAATATTTCCAATATATTCATCATTTTTTGTTTTAATAACAACAATAAATATTCAGAATACATAATATTTAATCATAAATACTGAAATGTTCTATTAGGGATATGAATAAAGTCGTTGTTTTTAGTCAACAGCGTTTAACCGCATATAACGAACAAATAAATTTGCCTGCAATTAATTTTATATCATACCCGTGTATAACTTTTTTGTTTTAATTTTGTTATACGAAGTGTTTTCTAAATGAATATTGTATTTATAAATAAAGTGCCTTATTTAAGGGTCTGTAATATTTTAGTATGGATATATATATAATATATATAAATGTATAAGCATGTCTGTCTGTCTATTTCTTGCCTTTCTACGACTAATTAGCCAAACGAACTTAATATATGGCGTGAAGAAAGATTACAAGAGATTGCAAGATATATTTTATAAGGTTTGTATAAAATAAGCAGGTTAAGGTGCGAGAAATAGTTAGTTTGTGCATATTTTTCTTATTGAATGAGAACAAATGAAAAATCCTGCAATAACAGGAACCTGCATTTAAAATAGAATAAATTTAATTATTATGGAAATAATTTCTAAAATTCTAGTGATACTAGAATTAATATAATGACAGTTCTGTTCTATTTTGCAGGTCACAGTAAATGCCACCAATGTAAGCCATATTAATTTCAATGTGGTGTGCTCCACGTGTATTATGCAACAGGATGAAAGTATAGCTCCCAATCCCAAAAATCTCACCCTCCTCGGTAAGTGCGATCTGCAATTCTGCTGTTTATTCCGTTCATTTTTTTGCCACTTTCTACGTTTTTTTAAACACTCTTCAATCACTTTGAGCAGAGAATTTGAACTGTTCCCCAACAATAAAAATATGTATGTTATTTTCATATAATAAAACAACTTTAGTCATATATTAATATTTATTGCATTTCTAAGAGAGACAATATTGTAAGTATATTGTCATTTTAACAAAAAAAACCAAACATAATTTATTCGTATTCTTAGAAATGCAATAAATATTAATATATGACTAAAGTTGTTTTATTATTTTACTATAAATTATACTATAAGCCTGTCTGTATTATCTCTATCTGTCTGTTGTCTTTTTACGACTAAACGGCTGAACGGATCTCAATATAAATGAATACAGATTTTTTGTCACAAAAAAAAAGCAAATGAAGACAGGTGACAGTATATAAAAAAATATAGGTACATTTAATATTTAGTAATTTAAATGTAAAGTTGAGTAATTGCAGATTCATTGTTAGATAGCATAGTGCTAGCGTAATTAACATTACTTTATCTTACGTTCCAGGTTTCCATTTCCAATTGGTTCCTGTAGAAGAAGGGGTACTACCTAATTGGGACTTAGCGGAAAACTTTGATGTCCCAATATTGTCTCCCGAAGGTATATATCTAAATTTAATTACTATTTGATCTTTCGCACAACTTGATGAAATAAATAAATGGAATAAAAACCATAAAAATATCTTATATTAAATTAAATAATAAACAGTATACATATCGTCATATAGTCAACATATAGTCGTAAAAATTCATTAAGATTAAGAAAATCATGGTATCTTGCTACATATGTAATATCAAACACTTTAGAAATAAGTCGTAACAATTGTCGCGATACACGGAATATAGTAAGTCGATTTTCTTACAACATTATAAAAATTTACATAATTTATTATATCAAATATTTTCAAATTATATCAAATATTTGTAAATATTGCACATATTTGATTCTTTTTGAATAAAAAAAAGTATATATAACTAATGTAATGACATACGTCATTTCGGTGAATTCATTCAGAACAGTACCCTAAAATCGAGGTGAATGCCATACCACAAGAGAAAAAAAAAACCAGAATGTCATTTGCAATGATTCTTTAAACAATTCAAAGCACGCGTTAGCGGCGCTTCATCAACCAGATTGATTCTCCTGTGGATTCTCCTAAATAGCACTCACATAGTATAGATTGGTGCAATATAGTATAGAAATAAAATAAATTCTGATTTTACAGATATTTTGTTTGAGGTGGGTCCACTGGTTAACAGTACCACTTTCCACGCTCGCGTGCGCTCCCGCAACGCCGCCGGCTACTCCGAGTGGACGCTCGTAGATCCAAATCCCAGTACCACCAATCGCGTTATGAACCTAATATGCAATGTTATCTTAGTCGTTATTGCTTTACTCACCATTGGATTATATTAAATCTAACTCAATGTTGCCAGAATTACATCATCGATGTTCTATATATTTTGCGGAAAACCCTAAAATAATAGATTTTGCCAGTTTTCAAAAATGTATTTATGGAAATGTTAATGAATTTAATAAAGTAGTTCGTTCCATTAATCATAAAAATAGCCTTTTCTTCAACGTACAACGGTTCAATTGTAATGCGTAGAAACTTTCAAGTGAAATACTTCATTTATTGTACGGGGGATTGGTATTTTAAATAAAATACCTTTCTCGTATCTCCCTAAATAGTTGGTAACAATTATGTTAAATCTGGCAACATTATTGAGACTTGGCAATGCTTTGGGGATCAATTTAGTTGTGATTTTTATTAATTAAGCAATTTTTATTTTTATATGATTTGAAATTAAAACCAAAGATTACGTAAATATTGTAAAAATTAATTAATATTTAGATAGTGTATGCTAACCCATACCTTGCTTCATACTTTATTTTAGTTTTGTAAATAAATGAAACAATAATTATAGAGTTGTAAGTTAAAAGTCTAAGTAGCAATTATACTTATATCCCCAAGTATAATATTCCAAGTTGTATTTAGATAGTGAAAGTGTGGAAATATCTGTCTATTAATCAGTTTTAATTAAATAAGTGTTCATCTCGTACCCAATATATACCAATGGCCTCAATATTTGAATTAGGTAAATAAAGTTAAATTTATGTGATAGTATGTAATAAATAAGCCTTCAGTAAGATCAGAAGATCAGAAACGAATGAATCTCATTACGATCCTCAGAAATGTATTAAAAATTTAAGTATATTAAACATTAGAAAAAGATTTTTAGTATATCTGTTGAATTGTATATGTCAATATTCTTTTGAAACGTCGAGCTCTATAGCTGTCTTGACTAAATATATTTACCTAAACCGTTAATTATTTATCAGACTTGAGTAATTTTGGGGTTCAGAGTTCATAACTTGACGCAAAGTCGGTAAATATTTGGTAAATGTCAATAATGTTTTTGTCCTGTCTCAGTTATTGATAATTAACGGAGATAGACTTTGTACGGAATCGTATACGTGGGTACTGACTGTCTAACACTATGTTTGCATACGGCTTTAGCCATTAAGCAGTTTGTTTTCTAAGATGTATTTCAGTTATAAATCAAAGAGATACATATTGGTCCTAGGGATAATGAGGGGATGGCAATACATGATAACGTGATGTCTGTAGTACTACTAGTGTGACGGTTGCCAATTGGTATCAGGTAGGCCGTCAGGCTGTTATACCCAATTTATTTTATAAAAAAATATCTATAAAAAAGATACGTAAGTGGCGATTTCGATATTTTCATTACATAAAACAGTAATTATTCTATGGAACTGTAAGAAAATTCATGACTTCCATAGAGTTTATTAGCATAATTTATATTTTTTAATGAAAATTTTGCTATCAGTCTTACAAGTTGCGTCAGCTTTCGCCGTATATGCAGCAACACTATTAAGTCTCTCAGGACAATATCTGTAATCTTGGATGACGTGTCCTTATGAAGTGTGAAAACCTCTAGCTAGATTAACCATTATCCATTATCGGCCGGATTTTTCCTTCAGTTGCTCTGTAATTCTATTCAAATATTATAATAATATTAATGTGAGGCATACATTGTTGAGTTCAGCCAGACGATTCTATATAACTCCCGCCTCATTACTACTCGCACTACTTAAAGCATTTCTCCCTACACACCGTGCTCTTTGGAAATACCCCAATTGGAATAATATCGCATGAGACAACCAATTAAACCTAATAATGTGTGGTTTTGGTTGTGGTAACTAAACTGAAAAGCCCAGAATATTTTTAAGAATTTTCAATCCACAACAGTAGAAAAATCCAATAAATCTGCATTAGCAACTATTGTAAGTGCTAAAAGTTGACTAGCCTAATTAACTAATACGTAATTGCTACGTAGTTTATAAATATGCAGTACCTAAAACGTAGATATTATTAATCATATTAGGTATGTATTATCAGCTGGTGGTCTTTACTAAAGCCTCTACGCCCCACATTATCCAAGTCTGATTATGAAATTGTTAATTATTGTTATCAATGTTAATCGCGTCCACTTTATAAATGGGTGCTTTATAAATAGGTAGTATCGATATCTGTATTAAAAGAAAATCTCCTGATTTAATTGCTTACTGTAACAAATATTGAATGTTGGCAAGACTACATTGTTCAGTAATGTTTTTATTAAAACCTTCCATTGCAGTAACTAGTTAACTACCAAGCTATGAAACCATTATGTCTAGTTACATTTAGATTTGCGCCATGTAAATAAGAATGTAAACATTATGTTTTTAGTCATTATTGTATTATTATATGTATAACTTGGTTATAGGTATAGTAGGTATCTAATTATAATGAATTTGGTAGAAAATGTATTTTTGGAGTAACAAGTTGTGACTTTATTTAATAGTAAATGTTTATATACACCACACAGACCCTAAGTTAAAGACCCAAATTAATATCAAAGTTTCATATTTAACAATGCATTAAGACGAAAAGTAAGTATAATACTAAATAGTATATATAATATGGGTATCATCATTTATAATATAAATTTGAATGAGACTAAAATGTATCTCGACAATAATTTTTCTAAAGTTTGTTAAACGTGTCCCGCGGTGATTATATTATATAAAGTGACTAATTAAATATTTAATACCTTTTGTAAATATTACAGATTTATCAAATCCCTATGAATTCATAACACTAAGTACTTTGATATGCATTAGTTAGTTTATATATAAAATTATCTGAAAATCGTCTCCACTATCTTTCGACACTTATTAACATATTTTGATTTCGACAACGACAATCCAATTTTTTCATTTTTATCAATACAATTGGGACTAATGTGTTTTGATCACCAGCTCCAAAAATACAATTTCATGAAGATATTACGATATTGCACTGACATACGAATAAACGTATAGATTAATAATTGTTTATTTATTATTACGTTTTAGTACCTCAAGAATGAGGAAGTAAATAATATAATTATTGGACTACATGACAATATTTGTGCAGGTACTATATCAAACAATTTAATTTAATTTATTACAATATAATTAAATATAAAAATATATTTACTAAATGCAATTATACTTAAATCATTTGTCAATTTTCGGTCAAAATTTTCAGTAAGACTGACTTTCTTTAATTAATCACTAAAAGATGGTTCCGTTTTATGTTTGTATAAAATGTTAGCTTAGGAAGCTTTGTATCACTAAATTTAAGGATTTTGAACGGGCCTCGTACAAATTATTCTATCGCCATTACGTTACAAAGTGGATTTTAAAACGTGTACATGTTTTGGCTTGATTTATATATATCCGAGTTTCACGTAGATGAATATTCATTTATGAAATGTTTATAACATAGTTCAACGCAGTATTCAATGGGTTGAACTTGATAAAAATATCTATGTACATAAGATATAATAATAGCTATGGTATGTATGACATATACACTGATGTTATGTTACTTACACTGACGTTTTCTGCCTCCAATAAAAATATTTATAAAATATACTTGCCTTTCATTGTAAAAAAAAATAGTTTAGCATATAGATATATTGTATAAGTAGGTATCCTAAGTATTTCTCCACTTATTCATAAAACGTCCTAGGTTAATGAAATATGTATATTTTATTTTAGATAAAGAAAAAGGCTTTAGTGTTAAGCATATGGGCTTAGAGATTATTCTTTAATTAAAGAATTTTTGGAAAAATAACTGAAACACACCAAAATAACTTAAATACAATAGAATTAGACAATTATTTATTTATAATCAATTGTGGACATATATATACATAATGTTATATATGTACGTACTTATTCATTGCAAGACTAGATGAAATATTGAAATCAATACGGATATCCATATAAATATTGTAATATAACAATTCTTTCCTATCATAATTATTGTGTATATGTAATAGAACTCTTAAACCATTTTCATAGCAAATATACAAATGAATCCCAAAACGAATATGCCACCAACGAAAAATATACCATAGAATACACCATCAAAATTTCCAACAAGTTTTTCGTCTTCTTCATCATCATCATCTGCCTCATCATCATCATTTGTTGCTTCATCGATTACATTCTCATTTTCAGTTACTGCTTCCATTGTAACTATAAGTAATGTTGTCCCAGTTATGGTTGTAGACGCCGTGATAGGACTCGACCACGGCGAATTGCCAACTTCATTCTTCGCTCTCACTCGTATCCAGTACTCTGTATCTTCATCTAAATCCTTCAAGGAATATGTATAATCTGAAGAGAGTGCAAAATATAAAAATGTATTTTATGTCAAAATCCATACCGATAGTATAAATGCCAAATTATCTCTGTCTGTACGTCTGTCACCATGTTATTATTTTCACAGATTACAGATATTTTCACAGATCTTCTATTTTTATCTCAAAAATTAATCTGGAATGGGGTGAAATAGGAAATGGAAATTTGTATAAATAAATAAAAGTACTGTTTATACACATATAACAAATAAATATTTTCTTTCTTTATGATTTAACATCTCAGATAATACCGGAATACATGGCGCATGTGACATACACATTTGTTATTGTGCGTCGAGTGTATATTTGTAAGTGGTGTCCATTGTATAAGCTCTACCAAACCAGTTACAATAGTTACCTTCATCATCACCTGATCTAACCAGCTCACTTAGTTCTCCTCTCTTCCATTCAGTTTCTCGTGGAGATTTCCTTCTTGAGCCCCTTCCGCTTACTACCATGTATTGTGCTTCAATGCCTATAGTTAAAAGATTGACAATTAAATCATCTACGTTACTATATTTGCTGACGATGATTATGAGAAACTAATCATAGTTATAGGATTTAGCCCTTCATAGCATAATCACCATGAATTGATCACGATAGTTTCCAATACTCCATGTACATCAACACCACAGAATGTAACATAAAGCTCCGACTAAAGATTCCCTCCCCATTGGAGTATTATATTGTATCACTGTCATATTAACCACTACGTTAATGATGCCACAAGAAATATAACAATTTCTTGTGTCATCTATTCGGTGCGAGATCTAGCTCAGATTGGAAGTCAGTTTAAAATATAGAATGATTTATACAAATATCTGCTTACCATCAATAGGAAAGTGTATATCAAACCATGTGATATTGAATACCAATTCCGCATCCGATGACTGTATAAGATTCACCTAAAAATAGATATCTAGTGTATATAATAATCTTTATTTCAAAAATACAATATTTGTACTAGGTATTATAATGTTTAATTCTTCTTGAGATTAAAGACAATGCATTATGTAGTAATCTATTATAAGTATAATACGCATATCGTTTTAAGGTCACCTATCTAATCAAATAAACCCCCAAAACAAGGTATATTTCTATTATTGTTATCTCAAGAAATGATCAAATTCTATGGAATTTCCGTAAACATTCAAAATTAGCAAATATAAGTAAATCAGATAAATTATTTATTATCTTCTGAGACACATGTGGATTAATAACTAATTATAAGTAATTCTTTTTATCCGAACACCTGTTGACATCGAAAGAAATTAGATTGGATTAAAATAAACAAAATCAATAACTTATGTTCGATGTTCATGTAGATATGCCATACATAACACATAAAAAAGCAATTTTTATTACTTGTTCAGAATATAACAACAGTGAAGTAAATAAATTAATAAACCTGGACAATTCAAACTAAACAAGTAATAAAAATAATTAATGTTATTTTTAATGCATTCACAACATATTTTAAATTGTGTGGGAAGCAAATTTGAGAAAATAAGGCATAATTCGCTTTGAGCAGTATGCATATCTGCTAGAGCACCCAGGTTTTCGTATATTAACGTATAAATATCATATCTTGCAATACTGAAAAATATAGTAAATGGATATACCACATTCCCCTTGTCAATTGTTAGCGCCTACTCAATACTTATAAGCAAACAATTACAATATTGCTAAACATGCTAAACATCTATTAAAAATCCGTTAAGGGTCCTCTAACGATACGATAAGAATCAACATGCTTATTAATTGTAGGTATTTTAAAATAGACCTAAAATGGCGGATCAGTTTTTATGAGAGTAAAAGTAAAATACTTCAATTACTTTTGCAACATGTAGGAATAATAATAGGGTACAGATAATAAAGATGATATGTATATTTCTATTGTCTACAGTAAGCCAAAATATTTGTAGATATCAATTACCTCACTAGGTCTATCAGGTCTTTGTGTTCGCAATATTATGAAAGATTTCAAACTGTCTCCAAGTTCATTTGTCACTCGACATAAAAACTTTTTGTCGTAGTTAAATTTATTCGCAACAATAGACAATTTTGCTTCGTTGGTATCATTTAAGAAATTAATTTGCTTCTGTGGGTATTCGAACAGTGTGTGATCATCTTCATAATGAAACCATCGGTAAGTTGGTCTTGGATAAGCGCTGGCGCTACAAATCAAATCCACGCTGTAAATAAATAATAATCGTATCAAATATATAGTTTATATAAACCTAGTGAAAAACATCAGCTTCCCACGGATGTAATTAGTGTGATTAGATTAGAAAGTGTGCCTGCGTGGGTACCACAGCTATTTCAACCGCCAAACAGCTTGCTTTCGAAGAAATTTTTCGGTTGAAAAGTGTAATAGGCAGTGAACATACAGAATATGGAACCATTCCCAATGGCAACAGATTAATATCATCACAGGCATCATATGATAACATAATGTCTGTGGTGCTGTTCATGTATACAGCATGCAACGAATACCAGTTACCAAACCGTCAGATTATTTGCCATAAAAGTTATGTAAAAAAATGCCACTTTGTATAAACGTTAAATTTTTATTTTAAAATTGGTCAAATATTATTTGAATTTATTCATGACAAAAAGAAACATGAAACTGTTCGTTATATTATTTTACGTAAAGAACAATAAAAATTTGAATATTATGAACTCTTCAATCCATTACGAATGCCTTAGTCTTAATCTCTTACTTAACTCAGTCAATCATCATCAATCTATTGAAATAATGCGCTCAATATATCAGTTTTATGTGTGATTAATATCTGTACGTACTGGTAAACGTTATATTGTATCTGTCAAGAATTTGCAATTGCTTGCAATATTGGTTTAATCGATGTTGATTGAAATATTCACATTTATCTGCAGAACATTATTGAACTTTATAACATTACAAAGATTTAGAATTGTTTTTTATTATGTATTTGGAGTGGCAAACATACTGACGGCTTTATTGAAGTGGTAACTTTCAACCTTATATATGAAAAGCACCACGTCATCATGGGACTTCTGCGTCCCTAGGGCAATGCATGAGGAACACTTCTTGCGTTGTCTTTCCGGAGAACAAAGATGTTAGGTCTCTATATTTTGTATTATCACCGCCATATCTAAAGCTCCGCTAAAACACATCGTACAAAGCAATCTGCTTGACGGCTCAAATAATTAAGATCGAATCGACACTTACCCCGACGACTTTAATATTTACCAATGTTAAATATCTACCAATGTTAAGTATTGATAGACGTTAGTATCTAGCTTATGGATTTGAAATACGTACTGAAATTAATAATAAAAATATTTAGGTACTGCTCTATTTTTTCTATGGTTTGCATACCTCTGATTATCCTTAACGTATACCAATTGAATATCATCGCTATCTACGAACACTGGAGCATCTGGAACATATGTTACAATTAAACAAATTGGCAGTAGGTATACATACAATTATACAATTTGATCCATGTTATTACTATAAAAGTTTGGTACTTGATACCAAAATATCATAATATATATATCTTCATTTCATTCATCATCTGCTTCTTGAATAAAATATTATTTGCAAAATACACTAATGATTACTTTGTTTAGTACATTATGACATGTCATGATGATGAAATCATCATGATTAATTTCTGAAGTAATTGCTTTCTAAATGACTAATTGACCACACTTAATCCTCATCCTCCATCATATATGCCATATTCATCCAAGAAAAAAGAAAACTCCTTGTGCGTTTTCATTCAAGAGGATTAAAGTACCATGACCTCTGTATCCTCTAGATTCACTGCAATATCTAACCTTTAAATCTGAGACACAGTTTATGCAGTATCAAAATAGAAATAAATTATTTATTTACTCGAGACGACTTAGTCTACCTTGGGGATAATGTTAATAGGAAAATATATACTCACGATTCACTATTAAACTGATGTTCCACGATTTACTTAAACTGCAATCAGACAATTCAGAATTCTCTTGTATTGCTGTACAAGTGTAAATCCCATGATCATTAGCTTCCAAGGACGTGATGGTGAGTAGACTTTCAAAACCTTGTCTGTTGTACTTAACCATGAGTCGATATTTAGATGATTCGTCACCATCATCTATTAAATTAAACATATATATTAATACTACGTGATCCGCAAACGTTGATTGCCATATAAATTAAAAGTGCTATTAAAAAATATGAGTCGATGTTAGAAGGATGTAAATTTGGAGTTGTATGTATTTTTAATGCCACAATATAAAAATAATAATAAAAAGTAGTCCAAAATATAAAAAAAGTCCTAAGGATAGATAACCCTTATCACTTAGGGCTATGAAAAATAGATAGTAGCCGATCAGACCTACTAAATATGTATATAAAACTTTATAAAAATCAGTCAAGTCATTTCGGTTGAGTATGGTAACTAACATTGTGACACGATTTATATATAATAAGAAATATATGTATTTCTTGTAATTTTATATATAATAAGAAAGATAAAGTTCATATAGGCAAGCTATGGTACAGTGTAGTGTCAATAATCTTTATATCTTCATACGAGAACTATTATTCTAAATAAGGTGATTAGAATCATTGTTTTACCTATGTCGTAGTTAACACAATACTTGACCTGACTACATTTCGCAAGATATATTTGAATCATTATTAGTATATAATTATAATTAAATTATATTACCTTTGATATCTTCACCATTTCTGTACCAAATTATTCTGGGCTCTGGTTGTCCCCTGGCTTCGCATGATAACGTGAATGAACGACCTTGACTAACGATCACCTCCTTTGGTGTGTCGACGAAATCTGATGCATCTACAGGGGAGAAAAGAAAAGCCATTTTACTGTGAAATGTTAACAATTTTGTACTACAACATTGTCCGTTATTTTATCATTTTTGTAATATTATGTGTGTATTATTATGATAACAATTAATGACTATAATTGTTCTTCTTCGCAACTTTTCTAATACTAAAGAAATAATTGCTGTAACATAATTTGTGGATTCCATTTCATCCCACAATAAATCCTAACTACTTACCTAGTGTGGAGAAATATTCATAAAACTTTTAGCACGTATTGTAAAGTCATCATCTAATAAAATATCACGTGGATTTTAAAGCATAAGTTTGAACTAATATTGTATATTGCCATACTGTGATGGTGTTTCAGGACATAACAATGCGATTGAATAAATGCCATAATACATAACGCAAGTTCTCAAATTATACAAAGTCCTGTTCGCAGTGAATACTGTTACTAATAATGTTTTACAAACTGAATGTGATAGGAAATCCTTTGTTTTAAAGAAATAACTTCCAAATGTATGTTGGTATATAATATTATGTTGTCTGTGATGTTGGTAAGTTTTCAAATATATGTTTAAACCTTTCAAACTGTTGTTTGACACCAGGATAATACTAATGTGATGTGTGTACACATAGTAATTGTCAATAATACAAGTTGGGTCTCGGAATACAAAACACTTGACAACGAATACGGATTAGCGACAAGTTATTAATGTCTAGTAAGTAGTAGTAGATTATGTCACCGGAAACCATTCCTGACGTCACTATTGTTTCATTAGGTTACCTACTGATAGTAATACCATAGATAACATAATATTGCATAGTAATATCTTTTAAAATTTTGTTCGTATTGACATGATAACAAGTAGTTTTTTATTTTAACCTTGTCAAATTACATCTCTTACCTCCGATGAACTGTTAAATTACATAAATATATATATCAATATCAAGATTTGCATACATATATACAAGAAATTATTTATTTGTTTAATTTGCATATTATTCGCTTGATGTTCACATTATGTATATTAACACAAGTTCTTTAAAAAATGTAGTGCTTAAAAAAATGTAGTTTAAAAATCTGTTTTTATATTGAACCAAAAAAGCTTCCTCCTTACTCAAAAGATAGACCAATATGTCGAACATCGCTGTTTCATTATCGATATATCGGTAGTGGACAACAAAAAAAACAAAACAAAAGTAATTATATACATACTCGTATATAATAAGCTAAGTACATATATAAAATTCAATTGAAAATTCTAAATGTCATAACATCTCATCCATGCATATTTGTGGTAGTTTAACGTACAAGTAGATACTAAATTTACATATAATTTTATTGTCATTTATGCATCAAACTTTACAATTGTATAGCTAACACATCGGCAACGTTGTGACACACACACATACCAATAACACACAACTCCACTTCCTGTGACGTTCTGTCTGTGCGGCATGTGTAGACTCCACTATCATTCACTACAGCATGAGTGAACGTCAAAACTTGCTCGGTGACACTTCGTCCTGCACTCAATAGGTACTTCGTTTGCGAGAACACACGATTCGTATTCTCGTGCTTTACCACCTCTCCTTGATGGTTCAGCCATTCTACCTGTGGAAATATTAACCATAGATATTATGGAAGGATTCAGATCTAATGAAGACGATATTAAATTTTCAGTCTACAAGTCTTCCAAGTACTGACCATGAATAAAGCATTTTATAGCGTATAACAATCCTAAATGCTCTATTAAGTTGCTAGCCCGATATCGCGAGTTCCGGTGGCAGTGATGTACTTCGGATACCTAGCCCTGCCATAATTTATAAAAAAAATTGGACTGATAAAACTGTGTAAGTTAATTTGTTCGTTATTCTTTTTTATTTACATAGGTACTCTTAATATCAGTCATCAGTTCTGCAAGTATATACGTTTTTCGTAGTTGCAATTGCAATATGGACATCACAACGGGTTGTATCTGCAACTGTCACAGAGTGCACAATGCGCACATACTCTTTATGCAAAATTTACATTTCAGAAGTGATAAATATTTTAATAGAACATATGCAAGCCTAACCAAAATGGGCAAAATTTATAAATATATATGAACCGTCCAGGGAAGAAAACAACATACTTTATTAACATAAAGAATCATTAAAGTCCGTTAACTTTTTATGTTGATATATTATGTAAAACCCGCGTATATCTGTATTAGTTTTACTTCAATTAAGTCATATTTATGTATCTAGCTACTAACAGCAATGGAAAATTGTTTATATTCAAAAACAGACTGTCTCCGTTTGGCAGTCAGTTAAATTAGAATTAAACACCACGCTATTTAAGAATAATAATACCAGGATATTCGTCATGTTTTGGTATCTACAAATGCCTCAACAATGTCAACAACTCTAATGGACCAGATATTACGTACCTACCCTCTGCAAATAAACGCAACTCATATATTAAGTTTAAACATATTGGTTTGAACATTTCCGTTCTGGAATTTTTTAGAGATTAGAGCACAAATATTGGTATAAACAAAACGTCGCGTTTGCGTCGTACGTACTATGTGTGCCAATTAATGGCACTAAATGAAGGACTGACCTAATTGACCGTCACTAAATTTTCATTCATAATTTCTATAGACAAAACTAATATTAAAACAGCATAATAGGTAGTAATATTTTTAATAATTATATTATTATTATATTTAATAATTATTATATATAAACAATTTCTATAATGACTCAATTTTTAAAAGAGAAAAATAATAAAGCTGCTGAGATTAAGAGGTGTGTTTAAAGACTTTCTTATTCTACAGTACCAGCCTCAAAAAATATCATTTTATATATGTCGGAGCGGAATGCAGTATCGTAGGTTTTAGATATAGTTATGTTAGCTACTCTGACATCAATTGCGTTATTCTCGACCATGCTATATCAATTATTTAACTCGTAGGTTATTATAATTAGATAAAATGAAACTCAATATAAGCACTTTTGAATAGTTACTGTATTTATGATTCTACCACTCATTCGGTACGCAGATTATCACAAGAAGAATGAGCAAGAAACTTCTGTGTTGCTCTATTAATTAATTATTATTATTTCTAAGCAGACATGACTCTTTACGTGTCTCAGTTATCTATAACTCTGTAACGCGTTAACTCTGTAACTTGGTAACTCAGTAACTGGCCACCTCACCAGTGTTCGAGTACAAGAAGACTTTGCTTATCCCCTCATAGAGGGCGCTAGTGTGCCAACCAATCATGCTCATGTACTCGCTCACAGTTTAATAACTCTTTATGATTATAGATTTCGTAATTACCTAATTGCTTGAGAAATATAACAAGCTCAGCTTGTTATATTTCTCTAAAATACTTTTAAGAATGATAGTCATTAAATTGCATGTTTTTGTTACTATAATTAGCATTTATGTTAACAATGTTGTCAGTCAATTGAGAGTGTGAAAGAAACGTAAATATTACATCGTGTTATTAAAATATCAATTAAGTACCATATTATTTGATCTAAAATTATTAATTCAAATTAATCACAATGGTTTCTATAAATATTAACTTTACAATTTTAATTACATTTCACCAAAGACGTAATAGCAAACATTATAATTATAATTAAATCTCTTATTTTCAAAGATTTTGTGACAGTACAATTTCCGAATCATGCCAAAGCCGATATATATCTTTTACGCCCTCTTCAACTATTTTTGAGTCGGGAAGTAAATCTTTTTTTCATCATCAGCCCATTGCAGTCCACCGCTGGACATAGACCTATAAAAACGTTCTAGAGATAAATGCAGCTGTTCCTAAAATGTTTCTGTTGTCATAAGAATAGGGTAGTTGTATGTATTGTCAACTGTCGACGTCATGCTAAATGCAACTTGACATGCATCCTTTCGCTCTGTATATTTGAATACAACAAGACTGCGATCAGCCGTAATTGTAATTAACAACAGAGATTCATTTCTGACGCCCAACAAGAATAAGGTATAACAGATTTTACTTTGTAAAATCTCTGTAATCTCCTAGTAAGTATGTATATGTATGTTATATCGCTATTTATCAACTATCGACTTGTCGTCAGTAGGTATATAGTGTGTAGGTTATCTCGGAGATGTAGCAGTTTAACACAGCGCTTCACTTCCGATCGCCGCGGATTCGATTCCTCACACGATATGTATCCATTAATATGATTGTTTGCATATTAAATACACTGACCGTGTATTTTCAAGGTATATGAAGTACAAAAAATAATTATTAAAATATTTTAAATGCTTAGGTTGAGACCAGATGGCGCTGTGTAAGTTGTCTTGAGTGATCATTATTATTATCAGTAAAATATTGGCTGTAATAGATACAGCCAATATTTTACTGATAAATTTTATTTATATAGATAAATAAGAAAATATTATGTTGATATTTAGTAATTAATTGGGCACCGTTATGTAAAATAAATAGATAGTTAAAAAAGAAGGCGAATAACCTGAAAAACAGTGTCTTTTCATTCTACTCGTACGCAGACAAATATAATTTGAATAATACATAATTACCTTTTGATTTTTGTTCAACACTTTACAAGCAATCGTTTTCCTTGTTCCAGCAGGCAAATACTTTAAATCTTCTTCATAGGTTACAGGTTCGACGTACAAACTATTTGATTGTTTAAGGCCATACACTGAAAAATGGTATTTTGGTAAATTTTAATTAATTTATATTTGTGGCGTCATCCATCTGAAACTAATATATCTACAAGAATGTTCTTGTTCTTCTACATCCAAAATACTATGTGTAATTTGATATTTCTTAAAGCAATACAACTCAACGAAGTTGTATTGCTTTAAGAAATATCAAATTAATAAAGAAAACTTACCATCGCATTTATAAGCACTATTAATAAGAATATGGACATTCTAGACGTAGGAGGTAAACATGAAGAACGCTACGGATATAACAAGGTAAGGTAAGGAGTCATAACAATTTAGTATAGTAAATTGTTATTCCTCATTGAAGAAGCTACTTTGCAGCTGGTTAAAATGAGAAACATCTCATGCTGACTTTGTACAAAGTAAGTAGTATGATAATGTAAATGGTTGACATAATGATCTTGCCGATGGGATACTTGACTGTTGGTTTTATTATGAGATCTCTAGATCATTTCTGCAGTCCCATATGTTTGAAACGGCCCTATTAACCATCGACACCATGTTGAACGGAACACTTGAAAGATGCATTATAGGCTTTGTGGAACAAAGATTTCTCCACTTGTTAGGTTATTTACTCATGCCATTAGTGATAGAATAATAGCCGTAGATTACAATAACATTAGCGTAGACTTATACCGAAGTAAACTCTATTGCGAAAATAATCAATAAAAATATTAAAGTTTCTGCAAGGACATCAGGATCAAGGATCACAATAAGATATTGAAAATTTTGTTAGCTTTAGATCAGATGCAGATGATAAAATGTCAATTGAATGATAAACAAATAACTTTTACATTTATATTAGGTATACCTGCTCTGTAGAACATGTAAATGAAAACAATCACATAAAACAGCCACTTCATTTTTTATAAAAAAAAATATGCTATTAAATGTAAAGTAGTGGTGGTCGGCTCAAATACCATTTAAAACTGTCTCATCCATATCCCATCTGTTTCCACAATAACTGTTATATAACTAACTGAAACACCAAATTAGCATTAATTGACGGGCGTATAATGCACCTACGGATATAGTACTTTACTCCCGCTATAATATGTGAAATTAAAAAGGTCGTTTTAGAATTATTGAGATGCATCTCATATTCATATTCATCAGCTAACTGTTATCACTTGACTTGAACTGCTGTTAATGTAAGATTACGGATAAAAACAATGACAAAATAGCATAGAGGTTGGTTTCACTACCGCCAATTCGTCAGAGATCGTTTTGTTCAGGTTCATAACTTTTAATTTTATTTACCTGGTAATATCAATTTTATGTATACTCTTCATTGGACCGCGTGGAGGTCGACCTAAGACGCTAAATGTCTAGTAATATGACTAATACCCTTTACCCTCCCCTCCCCCCTTTGACGAGTAAATTTGACTCAATCGTTTTAATCGAGGCAAAGCTACTGTCACCTATTTTGGATTTTAAGATGTTTCCCGTACATTTAGTCAGAAATATTAATTAACCTAATACTACTCAAATACATCCAACATATTTATTATTATTATATTTTATTTATTTCAGGCAACTAGGCCCATATCATAAATACCTTATAGACTAACATATATATGAAATATTTTAAAACTAATATATTGATATAGTCTGTGGTCACGGTACTAACGACGGCAATCTGCCGCGGTACACCACACCCTTCGGCCTGTAGTCCACCTTCATGAAGGTGGGCAGCATGTTGGTGGGGACCCGGGCCACAAACGTCTTGAAACTCGCGTTGTGACTCGATTCCAGCTGTGTCACCCTCAATGTCAAGTTACTCTTAGTCCGTATATAATCAACAATGTCCTGCTTATGAATTTATTGCTACTTTATCTTGTCGTTTTGTAGCTTAAATATTTATCGATATAATTTATGAATTATAATTAAAATTAGTTAATATGACATCATTTTAATCCACAATTATCTAAGTATGTGTACTTATTTTAATAATTTAAGGTATATATTGTCAAAGTAACGTTTTGTACCATCACAAAACTATTCTTAATTCGAATATATTGTGTACATATATAGGTTCACGTTAAAATAGGTTTAAGAGTGGATCACAGGAAAAGACATAGGATATCTAGTGTTTCAGTTAGGTAGGTACTTATAAATTGTAGTATTTAAAAATGCTAATTTATTTTTATTGATATTTCCAATTATAAGAATTACAATAATTTTCTAGATACCACTAATAAATAAGTATACTTTATATATGTCAGTTTACTATCTAAGAGTGTTCTACTGTTAACATTAGTTAACATTCATATTTATCCACAAAACAAATGGTTCTACAACATATTTACAAACATATTTACAACATATTTACAAAGAAAACTGTTACTATTTCTATAATATATAGACAGTATTGCAGTAAAATAACCAATGTTACTTAATGAGCCCCAAAAATGTGACTCACGCGTCTGACCGATTTTACTTATCTTTTAGACCATTGTCTAAGACATCGTCGCGTGGATCTTTTAATGACAGTGAGATTTCCCCAAATCATCGAAGGACTTCCGGATGATGTGGCCGAAGTATTGTAAATACAGTTAAGAATATATGAGGTGCTATGATATCATCATCTATATTCTTTGAGCATTATATTACAATTAAAAAAAAACATCTTCGTGTCCCAAAATTATAAAATTTATACATATATACTTTATATACGTATATATTATAAGTTAGTGTTTCTTCATTGTACATATATTCTGACTGAAGCTGCAACATCTGTTTCTAAAGGTCTTAAATATACTAAGAATATATTTTGTATGACACAATAATGTAATTTAAAAAAGAAATCCCCACATTATCGTTATTATTACAATTTTTTTTTCTAATAAAAGGAAATTAAGCGACCTATAAATATGGACGTTGCGATAATTAGGTCTGTAGGTAGTACCTAATTATTATAACACGCAGTGAGCAAAAAATCTTCTTCTAAAATGTCGTAAATAAAACAGCCTCATAGCCTGTATTTTAGTCCTAGCTTTTAATAAATAACTTCTACCTCACATTGGCCCATGTAGTAAGTAATTTAATAACAGCGCGTTTAGTTTTCTTTCAAATTATTCAAATTATGTATAAATGTGAATTGCAACGTATGCTTAAAAATCAATATCATTATACTTAGTAAATATATGATTTCGTTTGCGTAGGCCCTTAAAATTTTAGCATTAAATCGTCAAGATAAATTAAGCTGAAACTAGTCATTATGTCACGATACCAGATAGCGTTGCCTCATGGTCGTGAACTTATCAGTACATTAACAGTATAACAAAAACAATAATTTTATCTAAAATGAATCATCAGCAACCATAAAATATTAATTACCATCACTATAGTTCCTTGTTATACACTTCCCAGTTGTAGCTCGGGCATTAACAGCGTCAAACGGGGTATCTAAGATATTAAAATACATTGTTTATAGGGTGTTTAATAAATTTGCTATGTACCTATAGTATATTATTTTTAACATAAGCGTTGTGTTTATTTTAGTTTTAATAGTTTCATATTGCTATGAAACTATTAAAACTATAAGCATTTAAATGTGACTTTAATGTAACATTAAAATCATTAAATTCCAGTACATAGTTATAAAACTATTTATACAAAATTAAACGCAATTTAAATAATATATTAAACCACTTTTCTGTACCATGTTGGAGTCTGTTACAAATATATAAATACAAAGTGATACATTTATACTGTTAGTACCTACGATGTAACACTTCATTAGGTACTTACTGAATAATACTATTAAATACCGTTATCTAATGGATATGACACAATTTATTTTTAAGTACTGATTCTTATTGAAACTATCCAAAATTATATCTAGAATCTTAGGTAAACCTAATTAATATGACATATTTAAATAACCTAATACTATAGAAATAAATGAGAGTTTATTCCATATATAAATATAAATTTATGTACACACATTTTTCTCTACACATTTCACGATTCACTTATCGAACTTAACGACAGGTAAAATGCTCATTTTAACAGATATAAAACATAAACTTAAATTTATAAATCTTTAATATCATATAACTGTAATTTTAATAGATACTGCAATAAAGATTGGCCGTATAAAACAACTATATTTACCCACTTATAAATATAAGACCGTTTGTGAATACAACGCATCTGGCCTACATATGCTGCATTATGCCGCTCAAACAAATGAAAGAAAACAAACCATAGATTAGAAATTCAAGCGAGCATTGCTTTCAATAATATGGCCGGCCGGCGATAGTCGACTCGGCAGTCGCGTGGTGTTCAAAGAGCTGTGTAGACGGAGGAACGCGATTATACGAGTTTGTAACTACCGCACGCGTGCGTTTATTTATACGTGAATATTTCTCCGAAACCTATAAAAAGAGAAAAAAACAAATAGTTGACAAACATTGATATACCTAATAATTAAAAAATTACGTGCATTTGGTTGTGAATTAAAAATTGACGACGATTGTAACGACAAAAAAGTAAGTGAAAATAAATTTTAACGCCTATATTATGTAAAATTTGAAATCTGTATATATAACGACTAGTTATGCGAATATTTTTTAATATCATATATGTTCAAGCAGTGGCATTTGATATTACACAGAACTAAATTTTCTCTGACAAATAAATAGAAACTGCGGGTAATCTTATTAAAATATTGTGAATATAAAATAATTTAAAGACACTTAAATTTTTATTTTTCCTAGTAAATCCATGGGGATTTACTAGAAAAATATAAATTTAAGTTCATAATTCTGTTTTTGTTATATGGATAACAAAAACAGAATTATGAACTTAACACTTAAATAAAATTTGTAGAAAATTGACAGCCACCAATCTTGCATAAACAATAAAAATAAGAACATATAAAACAGGGTACTAAACGAAAATTAGTTTTCTTAGTGGATTCTTCTTACGATACCTAAAATATTTATAGTGTTTTCGAAAGAATATAAAAACATTAAAAATAATGTAATGTTTTACACAAAACAAAAGAAACCAGTGAGGATGGTAAACAAATAAACAAAAAGTAAAATTATCAAAAAAAAATTGGATTTATACAAATAAATAAATTTACAGTGTCTGTTTGTAATTTCAAACTAGCAGCTTTTTACTAAATATATAAATGAAAGTAATTATATATATAAAAGTATTTAAAAAAAATTAACTAATTAATTTATAAAGATATCTATTTATCTGTCTGTCTATTTGTTTGTTTTTGCAAATTTCTGAAACGGCTAGACTAATTTTTACTGATTATTAAAAAAAAAACACGTGTGAAACCTATTACAAACAATATGTTTACCATAATAATATTGTTTAAGTGGTCCCAATATTTTGATTTCGACGTTGAATGCAGTGACCACCAATTTGTATTGGTTTCATATTATATATTATAGAGGTTCATAATAAAACCGCTGTCTTTGATTCACTAGGATAATACCTTATATAATAATAATAAATATATGATAATAAATTACCATCAAATGGACCGTATGCTTGTTTGCCACCTACGCGGTATAAAAAATAACCTAAATAAATAATAATAGAAAACTTAATATAAAAAAAGCAGAAAAGCTAAAGGAAGTTGTTTTCAATTGTATTTTTGTAAAAATGAAATAGTTGGAACTAAAGATTTGAGAATTGTCGAATCCAATATTCGTCAATTCTAAGCAGATATCGGATTTTTGCAAACTCCTATTGATCGTATAAGTATGGTATATAATGTATGGTAAACTATAACAATGTTTGCTGAATATCTCGATAAGGTTTCAATGTCATTACATACGCAATATAGTTCTTATCGCACATGCCAAGCGAATTTGGCTAGCACATACCAAAGTACCTGCCAGCTAATAGTTTCAACGAAATAATAGATGCAAACAGTATACAACTGAAACAAATATTTCCTAGTTTCTTAATTATAACTGGATAAATTTGTAGCAGGTATCCGTTATTATTCGTTATTTGAGATTATTAGCTGCTTTTACACGGCATATTCTTTCACGTGCGAACAGGAGCGCGCTCGATATAACGCGGGAAAGCCAGCACGCGCAATCGTGAATGATTGCATTTTTGTATTTTGTGTAATCACTATTTCGCGCGTTTGTTTCGAGTCATGTAACCTTTTCTATTCCATAGCTTTTTTTTCCAAAGATATAATTATACCTTTGCTATATAGTCTGATGTTCTCCATTTTGCAATGATAATTATTATTACAAAAAGACGCTAAAGCACACACGATTGACGAACGCGGGAATATACTAAACGAGGCGGCGGCGGCGCGCGCGCTTTCTCGTTCTCTTTGTATACATTTACGTAGACATTCTTTCCTGCGTAAAAGAGCGCACGTGTAAAGTCAACTATTCATCTGAAAACAAATAAGTCTATTAATAGTCAAGAATATTAATTTGTCTAAAGTTCATATTGCCTTCATACTTATTATATTGGAATTTTTTAGTCTCTTTCAAGTATTAAAAATGTAACGTTATGATTAACTACAAATTTAGATTAATTAAATTAAACTACTTATATTTCTTACTCTGTATGAGGAACACGTTATTATGTAATATTTATCAATATTATTATCTACAAGCACACATTTATATTGATATTATAAAATTAACTATAAGAATAATTATTTTATGTTTTAAGTTCACAAATATAACTGATTATAATTACTTGTGGTGCAGAAATCGTTCCTCTGCTAAATCATAGGACTGTTGCAGATTTTTTAAAGATTATATAAATGTGATTTTTTTTTGATAGCAAATAATTTTCGTCGGCGTGTTTATTTATCACGCCATATAGGGAATGTAGACAAGTCGGTAATATAAAATTGACTAATTTTGGGTAGGTACAAAATACTTCAATTTAATACTTAATTAATATTGTGTACACCAGTAAAAAAGTACATTAAATAAATTATAGTAATATCACACGTGAAAATTTACAACGTTAGATCCCTTATAATCACACAGTAATGAACTGATGCCAAACAAATAACATCTAGGGTTATTAATTATAACATTCATTACTGCGTAGCAACTTAATCAAAAGGGACCTAATCTGGAGACACAACGAAATACATAATTTTATTGTGTGTTGTTCGCGGAAGCGTTATAAATTATAAATAACAAATATACGACTATGTATTACTTGAGTTTTATGTAATGTAATGTATTCATTATGTAATGTTTTTTATCAGGCGTAACGTACAAGTCCTTAGATTTCATTTGTCGGTAGCACGCATAATAATTATAATATAATGCAATTAACGCCGGATCTGTGAAATTGTATTCAATGTAAACTGCAACTACACAATAGGGTTTCCTACTTCCTTTCAAGCGAAAGAAACATCCAATTGTAATTATATTGCTAGAACTGACTTCTAAAATCCTTAATTACGACAAATAATTCAAATATATTTCTTTAAATATTCATAAATACGTCGCATTATTTGTAATGTATAAAATAAATAATGTTGCTGACAGCTTGACCACCATTTTTCTTTTTATAAATTTTGATTGACTTTATAAATTTCATATTATTTTGATATGTGTTTTTTATGTCACTTGACTTCTTCGCTGGGAGCCCTCTCTTGGGAAATATACACATTTATTACAATTATTCTGATTTATGTTTATTGGGAACACAATGACTCTTCATAACAGTTGTAGTGTTCCCAATATTCCCGTTCAAGTCATAGATAATGTCACGTTTTTTACATCTCACTATTTGAAACTTATTAAGATGATAAAGTTATTTATGTTGTAATACGCTACAATACTGCAACTTTCATTATTGTGGGTATAATCTTTTTTTAAATTTTATTGTTAAATTTATGACTAATCAAATGTACTTACAACCAACGTATTATAGTATTTGAAGGATTCTTTTTAATTTACTTTAAATTACTTTTTAGTTGATTAAAAAGTAGGCGTAGGCGGGAAACTTACTTACTTGGGGAATTTATTTATGTAGGGTATTATTTACCTATGACCTTCTCTGCTTTCTTTGAGATAAAATATAGCCTGTGTCAAAATGAAATGTCCTTTACATTATCCGTCCCGCGGTAAAAAGACAGAATTTAACATGTACAATATTGGTATGATTTACAATAACATTTTAATTATTAAATACGATTGTCTGTTCTATAATTCAGTTAATAAGGGCATTGACCAGATTTAACAGAAAAATCCATATCCTACTGTTTTTTATCAGAGATCTCTGACTAGTGATTTGTCTATTGTCTACAGCACAATGTCTATATGTATACTAAATAGATAGTAAAATAATTATTTGATGAATTATGTAGTTTATATAATGCTGTCATCATATACACTCGCTAAACTCGATTTACTACTGAATTAAATAACATAACAGAAATTATATGTTTATTCACAATGAACAAGATCCTGCTACACATTTACACCATTCTTCACTTTTATTTAACACTCTTATTAATGCAAATTAATATATAATTTAATGTGACTTTATAAATATTAATTTTATAAATAAGATACCTAATCCGACTAATGCTAAATTCCCTATGCCCGATAAGTAGGTAATTATGATGAATAATATTTGCTAACGATATTACATTGTTTCCAGAAACAAATGGATCATTACGAAGTTGAGAGTCAACAGATAGAAGCGTTACATTGAAGGATTTATTCCAAGTATTATTGAATAGGTGATAAATAACAAGTGGCTAAAAATATAGAGAAAATTTAATATAAAGAACAGTGCTCGGTGAAAGATAGTATTTGATGACACAATGACGCCGAGTCCAATGGATGAAAGTTTGGTGAGCCATGGAAATAACAATGTGGTTTCCTTGTTGCCGAGGACTTCAGTACAATTGGAGTTCAGAAATATTACATGCTCCATGAACATATTTTCTATAAATAAACTGCGGTTTGGTGAGTACACAGTATTTTTAATACTTCTACCTAACACCACAATGTATGTATTTCATATATTGTATTCTTTTTAATGGTTAATCGTGTAGTGGTCCACCCGCCTGCGCTGACGGTTTACGCTGATGAAGTACCAGTAGAGGATGATAAAATGAATATGAAGTCAGGTCAGACAAATTCTCCAAGAATTTATTATGATGGTTTCCGTGGGGAACCGCGTGGAGGTCAACCTGATATGATATATTGCTAGTAATGGGATTATTAGTCCACATTATTAACAATCCCCTTTCTCCCGGTATTCTTTGTATTGTCTAGATGCACATACATTACTATTGCTGTTTTTTTTCTAGTCGATCAGGTATGCGGAATATGACAGCGAAATTACTAAGTTAGAGTTATAAATAATTCCTTACTGTTCCTCAAGAAGTACAGTACTGAAATAATCAATACTACTACCCGTCATCGATCCACAATGGTAGTATTGTATATGACGACTTTTTTACATGTATTATAGGTATATTCTATTATAGGTAGAGTCATGTTGATCAAGAATTATGATTTTCCATCTGTTCCATGTAAACTGATATTTGTATCTAATTTTAAATATAATATATTTTTGTCTACTTTATTTTTATATTTAACTTTAATCATGGGCGTTCCATTGTCAGATGCTTTAGACCTGTAGCACTGCGACCTAAAAAGATGTATTGTACTCGCCTTTTTATAAAGTTCACTACCTAATACCATTACCAGTAATAGACTAGCTGATATTAAAATATAAGTTATAACAATATTAGGTATATACGTAATAAAATATCTCTATGATTTCAATAAACGTAGGTATATAAACAAAGATAGTTCTCATGTTATGCCTACATAAACAATAGTGAGTAGGTATTGTATCAGATGACAACTATAATTAGGGTATTATGTGTCAACGAACTAAAAGAAATGCCTTACTTACCTCAATATATTATGATGTTATCACTATTATACACGCAGTTGCCACGCGCTCTAGTTTAATCCGATATTTTCTTATTTATAAAAAAAAACAGCTGACTCGACAAGCAACATGATATTAGACCTTCAGTATGGCAATGCATGTTTTTGTACCTATGTACCAGTTTCATAAACATATAAAATACAACGAAATTTTGTATCCATTATTTCCGCTCTTGTTTGTGCTCTTTGTATAATAAATAGTACAATGATGGTAACAGATTAATAGATATACTCGTCTATGTAATTGTTCATAGAATGTTCAACAATAACCTTCTTGTTATCTTTGACCTAATTCGACCGAGACAACCTCGTAGGTCAATGGCATCATTCAATGTTAGAACGCGATTATGTAGACACATCAACTTCCGTAAAAAAATGTAATTAGACTTTGCTCAATTTAAAAAATATAACTCTTATTATGCACTTATATAATCATCGTGTGTGGCGCTTATCGATTTATCTACCCTAACAGTCCTTCTAAATAAAATAGATCGGTTACTCGGATCGGTCGGATAATTGCATACACTTAATATACAGATTGAATTTATAATGAATCCGCATTATTGTAAACATGTATAACATTTATTTGAAAAGAATACGAGCTGAGTTTCTTGTCAGTTCTTCTCATCTCGAAATCTTTCCGAACTGGCGGTAGATTACTTAGTACGCAAGTAGTACTTTGGAATGTACTTCCTGTTTACTTCAAAAAATGTTAAACCAAATTCTCCTTGAAAAATCCTGATGATTAATCAAAATTTTTATTACAGTTATAAAAATTTTGATTAATCATCAGGATCAATCAGACTAACCACTCTGAAGCTATGTTCCGTGAGACTATATGAATATTTGTTATTGGTAAATTATATATTTGATTTGTACATAATCCATGAGATCCATGAGATAAATATATTTTGAAGTAATATTAGTGTGTGTATAAATTTGCATATAGAGACAAACTTCTTAGCATAAATTCACCACGGGGGTGCCGTGTCCAACGTTTGTCAGAAAGGGAAATTTTGAGAAGTTCCCTGGACATCAGATCCAAGTTTAAGTGGCCTCTTTACAGACTTATATCAACACTGATATTCTCGAGAGACTCGTGTTTCTCTCCCTGCCCAACCAAATTTGATAGGAGTCTGCTAGCTTTGAGACACATTCTAATATCGAACCTACTTCAATTCTAAAAGCCAAGATCTTTAAGAAGATTGTAGAGAGATTTCGCTGGTATATCTCTCGCTCTCAACTTTGACTGCATATAAATTAACTACATACTTATTTACTACTACATTGCACCGCCACATTATCTCTGATCAGCGCGACTATTAGCTGGAGAATGCTATCAGATATTAAATCCTCTATGTACACAATTTAATGCGCAAAAGAAAAATATTTAATAATTAATTAATTTACATTTATCATGATGTAAATATATTATATGTTGCATTTTGCATGGATAATTATATAAATACTATAGTAATTTTTTTCCATCAAAGTTAGTAATGCAGACCAAATCGCGTACAGAAGGTACCTAATAAGTTACAAATATAATATATTGCGTCAATGGTCTAGCGGTTTAGCACACCTTACATCTGATGACTGCAGGTTCGATTCCTTGTACGATTCAAGCAATTGTATTCATGAGTATGATTGTTCGAATAGGTCCATGTGTTTTCTATGTACAACGAGTATATTATGCATATGTTTACAGAAAAATTGTGTATCGACTAGATGATGATGCTTTGTGTATTGTCCTATGTTATTATTATATAAATGAGAAAAATCTGCATTACGTCCGGATATTCAATACTAATTGCGTCTACTTTTACTATCATTGGGTTATAATAATATTTATATTTGAGGACAACGTTAAATAATGAATTAGTAGATTAACAGATGCATTAATAAACATAACAGGTATGTAATCTATACGTATTACATGTATAGATTACATACCTGTATATATGTATATATATATATAATTTGATTACAAGTTCATTATAAATTTACGATACACGAGTTATTGTCAATTGCCCTGACCTCTCACTTTACAAGATCAACTAACTCTTTGATGATGCTAAACACTAGTATATCCTAGTTTATATTAGAGGTGATTTAATCTAAGATACATTATTTCTTATACCTACCACGCTCTTGAACATACCACGCTATATGAGGATGATTTCACCGAAACTGCTTTTGATAGAATGGGAATGGTTAAAACTCGTTTTCTATCAGATGGAAAAGGACAACCGCCTCCTAAATAAGAATAGCATTATAGAGCTCCAATATAAATTATAAAGACGAATATATACGAAGCCATTCCTGAGGATTAAGTAGTTAAGTAACCAAGCATAGAAGATTATGAAGTAGAATAAAACGAAGTCACTCATCTGTCTAAATGCATAAAAACATATATACAATAATTCATAAAGTATTGCATAACGTTCGAATTTATTTACCGTGCGTTTGTATTTGCATAAAATTTCTCTCCTTCATACAACAAAAACGATGTTCCAAGGAACATATAAGACATTTCGTAATTCTGCGATATCCATAGCAGCTTTGATAGCATTTGAGTAGAAAAGATACGCAAGTAAAGATTCGATGGTTTCCGTACAATGCATAGTTGTTGGAGTTCTGAATCAGTGATGTATACGAATCTCTGATAAACTCGAAGTCGAACGAAAGTGCATTCACTTTCTGTTGCTGATAGAACCGTTCTCAGCACAATTAATGAATACATAATGAATACATTTTTTATTTGTCTGACAATAAAAAGTTGCACCCGCCTGCGTTAACGGCATATACTAGCGGGATACTAGTAGAGAACAATAAGATGAACATGAAGGCAGGTTAGTTACCCCTAATTCACTAGGAATTAACCAATTACTAATAATACGCTTCCTCTGTAGGGAGTATGTTAATAAAGTGGTACAATCTACAATATCTTTTATACATATTACGTTTAAATAAATTTAGCACTACTATTAGGTGGAGGCGAAGGATAATATAGTAGAACACTAAATTCATATTCATACTTAACTATTTTTCATTCTTTAGAAGTTCAACTATCTCAAATAATTTTTACTATTCGATCTAGAGATATTGCTAATTTCACTCATCCTCACTATAGAACTTTCTTTTCGTACCTTGTGATTGTTTGTTCTGCATTATCTTTTATTCCACGCTTCTTTTAACTTGTCTACTATTATCAGTACATTCAAATAAAATTGCAACTAATATTTTATAACTACATACGAAAATTTATAGTTCTTGACTTCATTATAAATTATTAAATTAGTACAAAACTTAACATAGGTTTTAAAAATAAAATAAAGCAACAAATTAAAAAAATCTAATCCCATTTTCCAGTTCCGTAAATTGTCGGATATAAAGAATGCATATAAACAGAGAAATCGAAAAACGTTCTGATTGAGCAAGTTAATGTTATGTGTAATTAATGCATTTATAATCACATTAGTTATATACTTGTACGTCATCACTAACACGTAACAGAATCCGATTATAATATAACATATTACAAAATATCATTCAGTAAAGTGCTGTAAGGTACCTATAGTCAACTAGTTATAATTTTATAAAAACTAACAACCGGTTTATTACAAAAATTTTAAATACCTATTAAAATGTTATTGAAACAATTATTAAACATATATATTAAAATTTAAAAGGTTAGTTAATTTATAGTTTTCATATTTTAAACTGACTTTATGAAGACGCTCAACTAGATTATCATTTTTCGTCTGTCTATTTTGTGCAAAGTCTTTTCTATTCTAAATATTTTTTTTTATTGAGTAACATAAATCCAAACATATAAACTTATAAACATTGAAACAAAGATTCATAATTGCAATATCAATATTATTATTTTTCTAATCGAATGTTTACTTTTATCTATATAATATAGTTTGTCTGATAAATATATGTTTCCTATTATTTTTAGACACTATAGAATTATCAACACACAAAACAACTGAAAA